GGGCTGGGAACCGCCAAGTTATATCCCCCCTTTGATGAGATGATGGTCTTCCCGCAGGCTATGCAGGAGCACCGTGCTCGGATGCTCATCAACATTAGGACTGCAAATACAAGTAATCTCTGCAAATGTGGTGTCCTTAAGGGCAATGAACAAATACAGGCATTCCCCTTGTGCTCATATAGCCGCTGATTTTTTGGGGAATAGCACGAGCGGTTTGTCCTTCTGGGCGAAAACACAAAATGGTTCTTGAGAAAGGCTTCCTCTGGTTGTTTGTGGGTTGCCATCATTTCAGGGGTTGGGCTTAGGTACTCTCTAAGCTCCAAAGGGTATCCCCAAAGGGTGAGGTCGCACCGAGCTCCAAGGGGGAGACTTTGGGAATTTTACGAAGTCGAAGTCATGTAGGTGACGCAAAGGCAAACCACCATGAGCACCATGAGTTTCAATAAGGAACCACCTCCTGAGTGGTTGGTGGACAGGAATCCTCACAAAAGTGACGTCACTTTCACGCCCGAATGACCTGCGAGAACTCTGACTCAGAAACCAGTGACAAAAATAATGGGTCCCGTTTCAGGGAGGATCTTTTTCGGATGTATGGCTTGAAAAGGGAACCAAAAGGAACCCTCCTTTTGGACCCATGAATCCCGCCCTTTCCCCAACTTTCAAGCGGAAGATGGGGAACTCCCAACAACGTGGGCCCATCCCTGGTCCGAAAGACTGTGGACCCGAAAACAAAATATCGCCCACCACAAGCTGAAGAACTCACCCCCAAGTTGGTAATGCCGAAAAGAAGCCACACCTACCTGGGTCCCTAAAAAAGAAGAGTAAAAGAAAGAAAAAAACGGGAACCGCCAAAAGCGGAAGCACCGGCTATGGTCCCCGGCTCTTTGGAGTGCACGGACCGCCGCGTCCCGGCGGAGGCCCCGGCGGCCGCCGCGGCGGAGGCCACCGCGGCGCCGCGGCTCTCGCCGGAGGCGACGTGGTTCACGGCGGAGGCCGCTGGCGCCGCCGGCAAAGAGTTGCCGGTGCTCGTATGGCCTGGGGGTGGGCTGAGGGGTGGGGGGTGGGGGGTGGGGGTCAGGATTAGGGGGTGAAGAGGGGGGGAGGTGAAGTTCAGCCAACTTTGCAGATTGGAACCGTGGTTAGAACTGAAGCAAAGGCTCCTAGTTCTTGTCTCAAAGCACTTAAGTAGGTTATACTGAAGGAGGCTAACCTCTGATAACCACTGATGAGAGCCTACTTTCTAAGTTGGTCGGACACCCTGCGGAACGCATGTACTAGACCCCATTGGACACGTCTTCAGAAGGGAAACTATCTCATAGGGCCCTTTTCGCTTTCGACGTTTTGAGCCGTTTTGTTGGCCTGATTCTATCCGGGCATCCGTTGGTAAAATTATGCCAATTGTGTTTAATCAAAAGCTGGCTTTTAAGTGGTCTACCCAAAACCATGTAAACAATTGGAAGGGCGCGTCTGACCACACGAATTATGGCAACAGGGACCATCCCTTCCTAGCCTTTATCCGCCCGGGTTTTGAGCAAGTGGCTGTTTGCTGATTTACCACAGCCAGTTCAAGGTGTCTTCTACTTGTCCGGGTGAGTACATGAGTGTCAAATATTGGAATGGACCCCAAAACCGGTGTAACGGGAGTGACTTTGACGAAGCCAGGAAAAACGAGTCAAAGACTTGCGTCCTCCAAATCCTTGGGAAAGAATTGTTTTCTGGAGTAACTGCCGCACCCCAAACTGCTCAAAAGGCTAGATGTATGAACTTGAATCCTTCATGCTTTCCTGGTAACTCCTTGGAGTCAATTCGCGATCAAAGGCATTCGCCACGAATCCTAAAACAGGATCTGATCGATCACGTGAAGGACCCAAAAATAAAATCCATTGCAAAACCCAAATGGGACTCGGTCCCCACAAAAGGTGGGGTTCCTTTACCTTCCCTCATAGCTACGGTCGATTGCTTTGCCTTTCATGGCCGGGCCTTGCACGGTGTCCTCTGAAATTGAGTGGCAAAAAATTGGCGCCGTAAGCCTCCGCAAATCACATGGCACGCGCGGATTTAATTCGGGATTTGTTGCATTTCTTCGAGATGTTGTTTTGGTACAGCATTTGCAAGCAAGCTGCATGCGCTCGTGTTGCACCAGCACTGTCGTCAACATCTCCGGCATCATTTAACTTCCTCAGCATCATTTTCAACATCCTTGGCATCACCCGTTGGCTTTGGTTTTGGCTGGGCTTAGGGTGGGTTCAAGGTTGGCTTGGGGTCAAGGTATGTTCCAGGCTGTTTAGGGGAGGTTTCGGGGTGGCTGCGCTTTGGGTACTGGGATGGTTTAGTGCTGGTTCATGGCGGGCTTGCTGGGGTTGGTTTAGGGTGGGTTTAGGCATGGTTTAGGGTGGGTTAGGTTTAGGGTGGGTTAGAGTTGGTTTAGGCTGTGGTTGTGTTTAGGTGAGCTTAGGGTGGTTGTGGGTAGGCTTAGAGTGGCTTAGGGATGGTTTTGCGAGATTGGGGGCGGTTGGTAAAGGGTTTGCTTAGAGTTTTTTAAGGGTTGGTGTTGGCTCTTTAGGGTGGGTTCAGTGCTGGTTTAGGGTAAGGATTGGCTTTGGGGTTGCTTCTGGGTGGGTTTAGTCTTGTTCAGGGCTGGTTTCAGGTGTGTTTTCGGGATGGTTTGGAGGTGGGTGGGTGGGTTTCGGGTTGGTTTAGGGTTGGTTGGGGTATGTTTAGAGCTGGTTTAGACCCCCCTGACAGGAACCTAGGCCACCAAGCCAAAAAGCAAGAAAGCAAAAAGCCGGTGTTGCTGGCGGTGCTGAGGATGTGGAAAGCCAAAGCCACAACGCCAGCCCGGAGAAAAACAGAAAACAAAATGGGCCTCCAAACTTTGTCAACCTTCAATCATACACCTGGGATTGAAATCTGCACTAGTACCATCATGTTAGTGAAGGCCAAAGAAAAGAGATGGTACCAAACGTTGACCCAGAAGAAAAGCATTTGTCTCAGATGGGTTCCTCTCGGTTTGCGTAAACCACAAAGGGGTTCCCGGCCGGCATGGTTCCCTTACAACCGTTGTCGAAAGCATGGCCGTCCTCACGAACCCGAAGTGAAAGGGCGCCATGGCACATGTGGTTCCATGTTGGACTGTGCTCTTTTGGTTCATGGGGAGACCCGCAAAATCCAAACCATGTTGGCGATATCCAGAAAAGGGAAAACGCTGAGCTTATCACCAAAGTAGAGTTAACTGGGGGAAAAAAGAAAGAAAGAAAAAGCATAGCGCACAGGAATTCGGGGAGCGAGATCCAACCAGTTTGGCAAAACACATGCATCCACTCTCGCAAACTCGGCCGACCGTCGCATCGAATCCCGCCTAGAACTGCGGCTGGCGTGACAGGCGTCAGCGCGGCCTTCTTCGAATTGCTTCCGAGTGTTCAACTCACTTGCTAAGCACGTTGGCTAAAACCAGAGGTATAAGGAGACTACTGTTATCTCCATGGTTGTAACCTACTAACTAAATTGGTTGAACATCGAAGAAATGAAACAATGGCTGACTTTTTCCACCCGGGGCTGCTTGTTGGGCTTTTTGTGTCTGGCAAAAACGCAACTTGGCTGTCTGGGAAGAGCACTTTCAAGGGCATGAAAGTAAGTGGCCTTTGATTGGGTTGCCCCGGGCTGTCAAACATAGGGGCGGGGATAAAATTGCCTTTTGAGAGCCAGAACAAATGGAGCGACCTGAACCGCCCCTGCCCTTCAAAATCACGCCCTCTCCCTTCCAGCACCCCACGCCAAAGTGGCAACCCAAGACCCAATTTTCCAGAATCATCTGGAAGTTCTACCCGAACAGATCCAAGGAAAGGACCTGGATCATGTCCTATGGTTGTCAGGGGCCCCTCGCAAAGAGGAGACCCCCTGGAAATGGTCTCCAAAAGCCCCTAATGCATCCTATTACTCGCTATTAGCCCTTATTGGGATTGGGGGTGCCCCTATTGGGGGGCCCTTGACAACCATGAGCTCGTTTTAGCTGGATCTGTGAGCTGGCCATACATCAGGCAGAGAAATGCAGTTTGAACTGGCAAACCTGTTTGGCTGCTTCCTTGAGTGGCTCGTTGTTGCTGACGGATCCCGAAACTCTTACGGTCAGCCAGTTTCTGGACCCTTGAACATTCACATGCTTCCCCTGCCACCCTACGACCTACCAAGTTTTTCACCCAGCGGCGACACTTAAGAAGGGATACTCGAAGGAGGCGTGGTTTGCGGAATTTGCGCTCTGCGAGTCGAGGAAGGCAAGCCCGCAGGGTGTATCCTGGCGATGGTTCCATGTGAAATCCCCGGGAAATGGGTGTGTTTATTTGTTGAGGGTACCCTTTAGGTGGTGTTTAAGAGAAATGAAAAGCAAACTAACTAAGCATTTGCTGGGTACAGTATATCTTAAGACACATGAGGAACAGGGTCTGGTTGCTCAAACCACGGGTTGCAAGCTATGTTGATCTGAATTGCTATTCACAGACCCATTGGAAATCCCTAAGAACCTTCCTGAAACTCGGAGAGCCCAGATTCATACCAAGAGGTGAAGAGTGCCGTGGCTTCCAACCACAAGATCTCTACACTACGGGCCACAAGGGAAATTCTAGGGACACCCACGGGCCTGCCACGGGCCCGCCACGGGCCCACGGGCCCACGGGCCCGCCACGGGCCCGCCACAGGCCCACGAGCCCGCCACAAGCCCACCCACCACAACCACGAGACCCACGGACCCGCCACGGGCCCACACGCGTGTGATGTAATGTAATGTAACAAAACGACATGTAATGTAATGTACTGTAATCTTATGTTCTGGTCTGCTATGCAGTGTTTTGTAATGTACTGTAATCTTATGTTCTGGTCTGCTATGCAGTGGCATGTAATGTAGCGCAGTGTGAAGTTTGCATGTATGCATGCATGCATGTACGCATGTATGAATGTGTGTAATGCATGCATGCTGTGCATGTATGTATGTATGTATGTATGTATGT